ACATCTATATTTATATATCTGTCCATCTGTATATATAATAAAAACCATGAGTTATATTGATACCTCCAAATCTAATCCAATTCCACAGGGTTTATTCTAACCTTCTCCCGTTTTTTATTGGAATGTCTTTCTATAACATAGATTCTTTATAATTTGTTTAACCAGTAACCATTTGATAGGCATTTGGATTGCTTTTAGTTATTGGCTGTTAAAAAGAGTACTGCAGAGATAATATTTGTACATATATCTTGGAGAGGTTTTTCAAATATATATATAGGGAAAAATGTCTAGCAGTGGGCTTTCTTGGTCTGAGGAAATGAACATTTAAAATTCTTATAGATATTTCCAAATTAGCCTCTAAAAATACTGTTTGCATCTTTTAAAATAATTGTCTTAAGGGCACATTTCTTAAAAACAATCCTGGCCTGTTTCCTAATGTCAGTGTCTCTTTAACCCTTTTCCTGTCACCATTTAGATAGACTTCTGATGGGATCCAGAGGCCCAGAGATTCAATGGCATTTAGTTTTCCCTTAACCTGGTAACATTGATTACTGCAGTCATTTGGTCTCTAGCCCAGAGTCTTCTGATAGTGTTGCAATTTTTATTCATAGACATTTCTCAAGTCTCATTATCCTTCAATAGTTTCAGTCAAATTATAGACATTTATGCTGATTTCTTTATAACCTAGTTAAAGTTTCATTGCCCTGACTAAACCAGAGATATTTCTCTTTATATTAAAATTCACTCTTAGCCTAGAGATATTTTCACTCTTTGCAAAGTGGCTGTGTTTTCCTCCTAGGCAATTTTAAACTGTTCTCTGTTAATAGCTGCAATTAAAATGCCCCCTCCCTTACTGATTGTACTCAGTAATTCAAATGGTTTCCCATTAACTGATGATTTCTTTCTGAATTACAAGAGGCAGAGTTGGTTCAGAGTTCACCTTACTCTATTTCATTCTTACATTTCTTTTCTAGCTTCCACTAGAATTTCCTCTGTTATTCCAGTCTCTATTGGTTAATAACCTATGCCTCCTCTGTATTACTCATTCTATACCGAACACAATGTGGATGTTATTTGAATGTATGTAACAGCATAGAGTAACAGACATCATCTAGAGAGAATTTGCTACAATGAATAATGATAATTGAGGTTGAATGTTTAGGGTGCAGACAGATTGTCTAGAAGTGGCATTGAATGGGCCTAAAGAACAACTGTATGAGTTACATTTGTGAAAGCTTATTGTGTATCAGACACTGAAATGGATGCTAAAAAGGCAGACATGGTACCTTCTCATTGGGAATTGCTCCATTCTGCCATTAGAGCAGAAAACAGAGCTAAACAATGATAGCATGGTTAGCTATTGCTGATACAGGAGTTGATTAATAGTTGGGAGAGATCAGAGGAGAGGAACTCCCAGTGTCTCTACTTTAAGGAGTCAGAGAAGACTGCACAGATGACACCATTGATCTAGGCCAGTGATGGCGAACCTCTGACACGTGAACTCATTTTTTTGGTTGATTTTTCTTTGTTAAATGGCATTTAAATATATAAAATAAATATCAGAAATATAAGTCCTTGTTTTACTATGGTTGCAAATATAAAAAAATTTCTATATGTGACACGGCACCAGAGTTAAGTTAGGGTTTTTCAAAATGCTGACACGCCGAGCTCAAAAGGTTCGCCATCACTGATCTAGGCTATGAAGAATGAAAAAAAGAGAAAGAAGGATATTCCAGGAAATGATTAAAAGCTTAGGACAGCAGGGAGCCAAGGAATAATGTGTTTATGGAGGAATGATGGGGCATTCTAATGTGGTCCAAAGTTGATCAAACTAGTGTTTGAGAAATTCTTCACCAAGCACAGGCAGGTATCACAGAGAAAACATGGTGTATTTGTTTTATTCATTTCTAAAATGGAAAAAAAGGCAAACCCCTTTGTGATTTTTTTTAAAAATAAAAATGCTGGTTGTTGTTTTTTTTTTATGTGGCTAAGGACTTGGACACATAATCCTTCCCCTTAGCTCTTGGAGAACACTGCCAGTGACTCCAAAAGGGAAAATTGATGCTGAGTACAATAGAGAAGTATCAGTTTATTCCAATTGTGAGCACATGAGAATATGAACAGATTATAAAATCACATGAACAACAAAATGTAGAGATCAGTCACACTTGAGCAGAACTTAGTTAATACTTTGAAGTCATTCCTCTGAGACAGCTGCCCCAACCCCACTCCCAACCCAACTGAGCAAAATGTAGTGGAAATGGGCCTGTTTAGGGGCTGGGGGTTAATACTGGAATGACTTACTGGGTAGTAAGTTCTTAAATTTTAATGACTTATCTTGATAAAACTCTAAGGAAGCCCAAGTAGAAGCCAAACTTATTCAACACATCATTAGTCAATGCTCCTTAGAGTAATCCTATATAATAAAAGCCTAATATGCTAAGTGTCCAGTCATCCAGTCGGCCATTCAACCAATCAAAGCGTAATATGTTAATGATATGCTAAGGCCGCTCAACCGCTTGCTATGACATGCACTGACCACCAGGGGGCAGACAGCCGACCGGTCGACCAGTCGTTATGACATGCCCTGACTACCAGGGGGCAAACGCTCTAACCAGTGGGTGAGTTTGCTGCTGGGGGTCCAGGCACGTCCCTCTCTGGCCACAATCATGCACCTGTGGGGTCCCTCGGCCTGGCTTGCGCCCTCTCTCAATCCAGGACCCCTTGGGGAATGTCGGAGAGCTGGTTTCAGCCTAATGGCGGACCAACCAGTCGCTATGATGTGCACTGACCACCAGGGGGCAGACGCTTAATGCAGGAGTTGCCCCCTGGTGGTCAGTGTGCTCCTACAGGGGGAGTGCTGCTCAGCCAGAAGCCAGGCTCACTGCTGGTGAACGCAGCCATCAGTCAGACATCCACTGAGGGCTCCCAGACTGCGAGAGGGCACAGGCCAGGCTGAGGAATCCCGCCCCCCCCCCTCCCAGGCCGGAGTGCATGAATTTCATGCACCAGGCCTCTAGTATTCATATGAGAAGCCAGGAAACCTGACTATAGGACATAGAGGCATTGGCACCATCTGGTGGAGAGAGTAGAAACTCATCTTTAAGCATGGGCTTGCTTAAATATGGGACCTTACAGCAGATGTTGCAACAAAGATTAGCATTTACTAAATGCTCTCCATTCAAACATGTAATTTTCTAATAAATTCTAGATTTATCTCTTGAGTTAGCAATAATACTTATTAGATCTCTCCTTGGGACCTTTCAGTTTCTTACTAGACTTGGTACTTGCAACTAAAAGGATTTGGGTTGTGAGAACTCTTCAGCATAATTTTGAGGCAGGAAATTGCTCTCTGATAGATGCTGTGAAGGAAAAAAGGAGATACAGAATTAGCCTTAAGTAACTTAACAGTGTAACTGGGAAACAAGCCATTTATTCTAGGGAAATGAGAAAATCAAGAGGCAAATCCCAAGGTAAGACAATGTCACAGGAGATGTCACTGGGCACTCAGATGAGGTTGGTGTGTTCAGGAATGACTTCATGAAGGAGGCTGGACTTCAATTTATCCTCAGCAAAGCATTTCCAAAATTTCTAGAACTCTAGTTCTCAATTTGGGCATGTTAAGGAAACCATCTAATATTGTTATTTCTTCACACTTTTCATTCACACTTTTTTTTTTTTGGCAAATACCTTCTGCCTTGTCTTAAACCATCAAGTCCATGAAATTACAGGTTTGATATGTTTTTGAGTTTGCTATATATTTGTTTTGCTAATATACATGAAATAAACACAGGAAATCCTCATTATATGGAGATAATTACAGTAAGTCCTCACTTAGTCACTGATAGGTTCTGTGTCTTTAAGTGAAACTACATATAACGAAACCAGTTTTACCATAGGCTAATTTATATAAACAAGAGTTAAGTGCCTATGGCATCTCATCAATGTTATAACAAAACAACATCGAACAAAATAATTTTCTTGATGACCTGCTGTAGTTCTACAAAAAGACCATTTAAAGGGAATCAATCTACCGAAAAAGAGTATCAGTCATTTATGTTAATTTTTTATGCAAAAGTTCGATTGGGATTTTAGTTTATAAATGAAACAAAAAATTATGAAAGTAAATATTTCATTGTTTACCCAACAAAGTATAAGCTGTGTTGCAACTATGGATAATTTGAAAAAAATATTATTTAATTGAATGGTATTTTTCTGACAAAATAATTTAACTTTTGTGGCACAATCATAAATATTAAAAGACATCAAAATAGACCTCTCTTTACCTTTTAATGTTCAAATTATTTTATGAGCAACCTACTTAATTATCATCCTTGTGAGTTTTCTCTTGTTCAGTTACTGATCTAATTGTTCTAAATCCTTATAAGTTAGTGGATTTTTATGTGATCTGAGCAGACTTTTTCTTTAATCTCATGCAATTCTACTTTTTTTGTTTAGATTTGTAACTTGGATTTCCAGTAGATATGTATTGGGTTTGAATTATATTGGAGAAATTGAAAACAGCATTGATCTTATTAGTGAGCCGAGGGTATTGTAAAGTAGAAGATTATTTAAGTCAGTTCTCAATTCAACAGTGAATATTTTGGTGTTAGGATGACTTTTATTTTCCTATGCATCCTTCCAAAGTCTCAGGGAATCTCTGGAATTGCCCAAGGACAGAGAAGTTCAGAGTCCTCTGCTCAGAACCGGGTTAAACTTCAAGGCCCACTGAGCATAGTATCTGTCCTACCTCCTATCATACCCTTTCACAATATCCTTGGGTGATATTTCTTCTTTTCATGGTATCTACAATTGTGTATGCTGCTTTCTAAAATCACCTTGAAATGTATACTGAACCAAAAGGTAATAGTAGCTTTTAGAAGCCTCTCTGTGTAATTCCTATTAGGAAACTCATAGAAAGGCTTTTTGTAGTAGCTAATATTTTCCTCTTGTTGGAATGATGATTTGAAAGTTACAAGCCTTTCTCTGCTTTTTCCCAGCCAGGTCTCTAGACAAACTTTATAACTTTGCTGATTGCTCTGGACTCCACCTGATATTTGCTCTAAACGCAATGCGTCGTAATCCCAATAACTCCTGGAACAGTTCTAGTGCCCTGAGCCTATTAAAGTACAGCGCCAGCAAAAAGTACAACATTTCTTGGGAATTGGGTAATGGTAAGTAAGGTTGTTATTTGCTTTAATTGACAAGATAAAGGGTAAAAAAATAAGTTGGCCTCAGATATGATCTCAATTAGACCATCTCTAGTGTATGGGCCTGAAAACACTTGAGATTTTTGGCCACTGCGTTGAAAATAGTAAAAGACCAAATAATAAAGGACAGTAGATTTAGTGAATCCACACCATTTGCATATATAGTTATCGCTAGTTAACTCATTCCACATATGGAGAAAATGTCATCTGTGATTCATAAGTAACAAATTGAAGCTAAGTCAGATATAACCTGTCTGCACAGTCTGAGCTGCATTTTATAGGGTGTGTTCTATGGAACACTGGTCCTACAAGATAACCTTTATAACAATTCAAATATATTTGGGGACTGCTCTATAGTATATGCACCTCTCAAAGGTGGAGAGGGGCAATGGGGGGGAAAGGGGACATCTATAATACTTTTAACAATAAACATAAATTTCAAAAAAGGCTCTGAGAAGCCTGCTGCAACTATTATAAATTAGTTCTTTGAACATATTTATAATACAGTTTTGAAGTTCTTATCTGCTAAGCCTAACATTTGGGCCCCCAAGAAAGAGTTCCTATTTGCTGCTTTTTTTTCTTGATATGTTCATACTTTCCTATATCTTTGCATCTCATAATTTGTTTTGTTGTTGTTGAAACTATACTTACAGGTAGGTTAGCACAACCCTGAATTCCAAATCCTCCATCTCAGAGGTTATTTTTGCTTTTGCTTTTTGTTTGTTTGCACTAGTTCTGTAGAATCTGCCTCCCTTGCATTATGTAACTGCTAATATCTCTTAAATTTTTATTTTTAAATTTTTTTTAATTTTTAAGGCCAGCTTCCTAGGGGTTTCCCTTAGTCAACATAGGCTAATGGTGAGACTATGATTGATCAGAGGTTATGCTTAATTGAGCCAGTAAGGCTTCCATCCTTTGCCAGTGGATCTGTATGTGGGTTGGGGAACACAATAAAAATTTAGGCAATTTACAAGTCTGACTAACTTTTACTTTCTGACATGCCTTCTTATGTCTCCTTTATGAGTGTACTAGGTTTCGCACTCATCTACGAATGCATAGATAGCTAGTGCCCTCTCCAGTCTCTCCTGAGCATGCACAGCCTTCCAGACTATGAGGAGTATCTGTGAGCTTATCAAGGCCCACTTTGACTGTCTTATTCCCCAAACCGCCTGTTAAATTTCTTGCAAGTGTGCTGGTTTATATCTTTCCCCTATCAGTATCAAAACCTCAAGTTAGTCTTCTTGGAGCATGTACTTCATTCCAAATCAAATTAGCTCCCTCTAGCAGTGGAGCTGCTGGATTTAGAACTTTCCTTGCCCTTTAGAACTACCAAGTTAAGAAAAACTGGGAGAGGGGGTTTTGCCCTAAATTATTTCATTTAGCTATTTTGTTATTATTAAACATTACATTTTTCTAACTTTTTGGTATAATAACCATATTTATGAACTTTCCTTTTTTTATCATTTATATTCATTTCCTAGGCTTGTCATAACAAAATATAATGAGTTTCATGGTATGAAACAACAGAATTTATTCTCTCTCAGTTCAAGAGACCAGAAGTTTGAAATCAAAGAATTGCCAGGGTTGATTCCTTCTGGAGGCTCTGAGGAAGAATCTATTCCATTCCTCTCTCCTAGATCCTGGTAGATCCCAGCTAGCTTTGGCACAGCAGCATCTCTCCAATCTTTGCTTCCATTGACCTGTGGCCTTCTTCCCTGTGTATTTGTGTACCTGAATCTCCCTCTCCTTTCTTTTATAAAGATACTAGAGGCCCGGTGCCCGACATTCGTGCACTTGGGGGGGAGGGGGAGGTTCCTGAGCCCAGCCTGCGCCCTCTCACAGTCCGGAACCCCTCGGGGGATGTCCGACTGCCCACTTAGGACATCCCCTGAGGGGTTCTTAGCACTGCTGTGGAGGTGGGAGAGGCTCCCACCACCACCACTGGGCTTGCCAGCCATGAGCCCGCCTTCTGGCTGAGCAGTGTCCCCCCCCACCCCCCGTGGGAGCGCACTGACCACAGGGGGCAGCTCCTGCATTGAGCGTCTGCCCCCTGGTGGTCAGTGCATGTCATAGAGACCAGTCATTCCGTCGTTTGGTCGATTTGCATATTAGCCTTTTATTATATAGGATTGGTTATTGGGTTTAAGACATACCCTGATCCCATATTACTTCATCTTAACTAATTACATCTTCTAAGATCCTATTTCCAAATAAGATCATATTCTGAAGTTTCAGGTAGACATAAATTTTGTGGAATACTGTTCAACCCAGTATATCACTCATTATAGAATATCACCTGAAAATCAGTATGGTCTCTCTGTTGTGGATTAGGTGATCTTTTGTGAAGATTAGTTTGAAAATGAATAGAATAGTAAGATGGCATTTGACTTTTTTGTTGCAGGGGTTCCTCAAGTTAAGCTAGCTCACATCCTCTTTGGTTATTTTATTCATGTTAAGAAAAAGGCAGAGAGATCTGTGAACAGGAAAGGGTTGGCAGAGCTTTACCCTTCTCAACCCTGACTTGCATGTCTTCTTTTAATCTAGAGCCAAATAACTATCGGACTATGCATGGCCGGGCAGTAAATGGCAGCCAGTTGGGAAAGGATTACATCCAGCTGAAAAGTCTATTGCAGCCCATCCGGATTTACTCAAGAGCCAGCTTGTATGGCCCTAATATTGGGCGGCCCAGAAAGAATGTCATCGCCCTCCTAGATGGGTACGTCAGATTATTTAGCAGTTCTTATAACATTATTTATTAAATGTAATTAATTAATGTATTTGTATTTTTTCTAGTTATTTTGTTCTTAAAAAGGACAGAGAGATTTTTTCATGATTTCCCCCACTCTAAATCAGGGATTCTCCATCAAACAGTGTAATAACTTTTCATGTCAGACCTTCCACAGTCAACAGAAGGTGGTAGGATTGGGGAGGGAATTCATAATCAAACAAAGCCAATAACTCTATCATTTATGTCTATGCAGTTATGCTTTTGGATTATCTTTTTTTAATGATTTGATTAATGTATTTTCATGGGATGACAGTGTCCTCTCAGTAGCATAATCCTAATTAATTATTCATTCATTCTGGAAAAGTTTCTTGAGTAAATGATATGTGCCTAGTACCATGTCAGGAGCTGGGTATGTAATAATAAACAAAAACAGATACTTTCTTTACCTTCACAGAGCATATAATATGGTAGGAGAAACATAGACATTAATCAATTGATCTTAAAATTAAGATAATACCAAGTAAAGGTACATGGTACTATAAATGACTCTAAGGGCTGGGATTTGATGGAGCAGGAGGTCATGGAAGGATTTCCTTAATGAAGCCACACATAAGAGGAAGAGAGATATTTGGTGTATTTAAATGATAGGTAGGTGTTAACTAGATAAAGTTTAAACTGAACAGTATCTGTGTTCTTGGGAAAAAGAAAAGCATATGCAAAGACCTGGAAGATGAAAAAAGGGCCAGGTTGGCTAAAGAAAGGCATAGCTAGAGAAGTGATTAGGTATCATATTATATAGATAGAAACTTATAGGCATAGTGAAGGACTTAGAATTTCTTCTAAGTACAATGGGAAAGATGCTGAATGTTATTAAGCTGGGGAGAGAAATAATTTGACTTGTTATGCAAAAAGTATGCTATGTTTACTCTGTGGAAAATAGGTTGGAGAGGAAGCAGTGATAAGGCCACTGTAGTAAAGAAAGAAAGAATGATGGGAACCTGGACTAAGATGGTGGCAAGGAAATATATTGTTGGAGGTAGAATCCAAAAGTCTTGATATATTGGATAAATGTATGGTGATATGACATAAGAATATTCAAGCAACTGGATGAGTAGTATTGTCATTTACAGAGATGGGAAGACTGGAGGACTAGTCTAGGAAGAAAATCATGACTTCAGTTTTCATGTTACATTTATTATGTTTGAATCTAAATAAGATGTCAAATATATCATTGAATGAGTCAAGGGATCACTTGGGTTGCGGGAAACGAGTTAAGTCGGCTCGCGTGAATTGCGCATACTCCGCGGGAGCCGTCTTAAACTCGGTTCATATAGATTTGCGGTGGAGTGCGGGAAACGTGTAAACTCGGGCCGATTGTAACTGCGTATTACCAAATATTTCATTTCAATCGAACCCATACTTCAAAAGATATAGGCATTTTAACGCGCCATCTTATATTTTGGCGGGAAATTCACCCGACACCGTAGTGGGATCAAGATCTCTGCTAGCAATATTAATTCTGGGGGTCATTAAAATGCAAATAGGATATAAGGCTGTGGGAATATAGGAGATCAGTTAGAGAGAATGTGGAAAGAGAAGAGACAGAGGGTTAGGAGAGGCCAGAGGAACTCTCATATTTAGAGGGAGAAAAGAGGAATGACCTCAGAAGTAAGAAAAAAGAGAGAGATTAAGATGTCACAGGAACCAAGAAAAGAGAGTTTTAAATACAGAGGGAGTGCTGCTAGGAGGCCAGGAGGTCAAGTAACAGGAAGATAGAAAAGTACCAATGGATTGGGCAACATGCATGTTTTTGGTGACTTTGGATCACAAAGTTCAGTGGAGTGGTGAGAATAGGAGACAGATCACAATAGTTTGAAGAGTAAATGGTGTGTGTACGTGAAAGATTGGAAACAATAATATGGACAGTAATCCTTAACAGATTTTTTACTATGAAGGAGAGCAGAAAAACTAAGGAAGATGTGGGAGTCAAGGAAAGTGATGGCATTTTTCTTCTGGGAGACAGTAGGACAGGTTTGTGTGTTGATGAGACTCATGCAGGAGAGAAGAGCTAGATTGAAGATATAAAACAAAGTGAGAAGTCCTTCAAGGTTAGAAGAAATGGAGGCCAGAAAAATTGGCCTTCATTAAATGGAGGGGTAATTCCATCAGAGTAACAGAAGGTAAGAAACAAATATATCTCCATGCCAGAGGTTAAAAAGTCATACTGAGGAGATACTTCTACCCAGTACATAGGTGTAGTTAGGGCATTCTAGTTTGTGTACATACTGTAAATATGAGCACATAGATAGATGCTGGTTTGTTATGAATAAGTCAAGAAATTTGGATACAATAGTAAGTGACAGATAAAAGAAATGAACATGTAACTGGATGCTGTGGTAGCAAGTGGTGGGGTTCATCTCCCTATACATCTAAAAACTAACAGGACTCAGGAGATAGAGAAAATTACTTAGGGCAAGGAAAGGTCCCAGTGCTTTATATGCCAGGAAAAAATGGAGATTTGTCTTTCTTAATGTATATGTACTAAATATACAGTGAAATATAACTTGAAATACATAAACATTCCTAGCAACTCAACCAACAATAACAAAAATGTCAGCACTCTAAATTATAAGCTCTGTAGTCTTTTCCAGTTCTCCTGGTTATACAGATATAATTTTACATAGTTGCGATCATTGTATATGTATCATTTTGAGTTCTGCATGTTTTACTCATTGCTTTATATTGCTCTTTCTTTATTTCTACATAGTTCTCATATTTGTCATTCTTAATAGCAATAAAATATTCTATTGCATTAATGTACCAAAGCTTTCCCTCATGTTGGGCATTTGGACTGCTTCCAGTTTTTGTCTGTAATATATAGCACAGCTATAAACATCTTTATACAAATAGGTTTTTTATTTCTTTTGAATTACATCCTTGGGCTGTATTCCAAAAAGTTGGGTTTCTGGATCGAAGTATGTATATGATAATTTTTATGGTTCTTATATTTGTTGCCAGATTTTATTTTTCAGAACAATTTTACCAGGTTGCAGGGCAGTAATGTATTAGTGAATCTTTCCCCCCAATACCCCACAGCAATGAATATTGTCTTTTTATTCATTTACTCTATTTTAATTGATGCAAGACTCCTCATGGTTGTTTAAATTTGAATTCTGTTAACTATAAAAATAACTGGGAGATTAAAAATGGTGGCAGAGTAAGTGGATGCTGCATGAACATGCTCACAGAAACAAACTGGTATTACAACTAAAATACAGAAAAACTTCCTGAATAATCAACAGAAAACTCACAGGAGAGAACTCTGACACTGGAGGACTGAAAGTGGAGACCGCATAGAAACTGGTAGGAGGGGCAGAAGCGCTAAAGGGCTGGCCGGGTGCCCACAGATAGCAACTGAGTCCCAAAGAGATATCTCAGCTGTGGGGGGTTGCCACTGAGAACTCTGGGATCTAATCCCCAAGCTGGGCCCCCCCAGCAGAGAGCACCAAAACAGAGGAGGGTACCCATATAACATCTGGCTGTGAAAAGCAGCAGGGTGCTGTCTGCCAGAGAATAACAGCTGAAAATTCAGGCACCCTCTTAAAGGGCCAATGTACAAAATTCCCTGTGGAGCCATCCACCTTGTGCTCCGGCAGAAGGAGGCTTAAGTGGGCTGGAGCTGTGAGGGCAGAAGCCAGGACTGGGGACTCGAGGGATAGGGCTCAGAAGGCAGACACCCCAAGTTTCCTGGGCTGAGTCATTCTCTCATGCAGCAGAGAACATCTTTCCCACATAGACATCTACCTTAACTGGGGGGAAGACAGTTGACACACCCTATTGAAAAACACCTTGCCCAGAGGCTACTTAAGAGATTAAAAATAACAATTAGCCTCCAGGGAGTAGCAACTGCCCCACCCTGTTGGAAAAAAAAATCTCTTGCCATACCTGAAGACGATTGCCTGGGGGGCAATTCAAGTCAGAATCCTATCAGTCTGTAGGCCAAGGCAGTCTCTGGAGGCTTTGATTCTCTGCCTGATCTAATTAGTCAAAAATGGCCTTTAACACTGTCCTGCATTAGAGGTTGAGAGGTGTAGAGGTGTAATACATAGACACAAACCCAAACAGAAAGCCAAAATGAGGAGACAAAGAAACAACCCCCAAATGAAAGAACCAGAGAATTCTCTAGAAGAAGAGATAAATGAAGCAGAGATAAGACATTTATCTGAAACAGAGTTCAGAGTATTGATGGTAAAGATGCTCAACAGTGTGAAAAAAGATATAGTAACTATGAAAAAAGAACAGTCTGAGATAAAGAATGACATAATACAAATAAAGAACACATTGGAAGGAATACACAGCAGATTAGGGGAAGCTGAGGATCAAATCAGTGAATTAGAAGACAGAGTTAAAAATATCACTCAATCAGAGAACCAAAAAGAAAAAATAATTAAAAAATAGGAGGACCGCTTAACGTGAAACATAACAATATTAGAGTAACAGGTGTGCCAGAAGAGGCAGAAAGGGAGAAAGGCATAGAGAAGGTGTTTGAAGAAATAATGGCAGAAAATTTCCCTAACCTGGTAATGGAAAAAGTCACACAAGTTCAGGAGGCACAGAGAACCCCAAACAAGAAGAACCCAAACAGGCCCGTGCCCAGACACATAATAATTAAAATGCCAAAAATTAAAGACAAAGAGAGAATCTTAAAGGCAGCAAGAGAAAAGAAAACTGTTAACTACAAAAGAGTTCCCTAAAGGCTGACACCTGATTTCTCATCAGAAACTCTATAAGCCAGAAGGGATTGGTGTGAAGTTCTCAAGGTAATGGAAAGCAAGGATTTGAGACCAAGATTACTATATCCAGCAAGGCTATCATTCAAAATAGAAGGTCAAATAAAAAGCTTGACCAAAAAAAAAAAAAAAAAAAAAAGGCTAAAGGAATACATCACCACCAAGCCAGCATTATAAGAAATGCTAAATAGATTGCTG